AGATATTGATTTTTCCAATCCTCTCACTTTGCCAAATGTTTGAGCCAAGAAATCCAAAATCTACGAGCACTATTGTCACTATTAGTAGCCTTCCATGTTTAATTTTCAATACTGGCAATATGCTCTCGGAAAACAATGTGGATGTTACGCTTTTACCAAAACAACAAAATTGTCCAACTCAGGGCCTATTTAGTCCTCCTCTGGAGCTTTTAGAACCGGAATGGCATGTCTTCATCAGCGAGTGGTGGAAAGTAACAGGTTACTTTTGCAGCATTCATATTAAACGGTATTAAAAATATTTTCAACTAATAATTTATAATGAGACTGGATTTAGCTACCCAAGATTGCTGACGTATTCAGATTAGCGCCATGTTTAAACAGTTGCAACAATGTGTCAGGCATAATCCCAATAATTATATATGAAATATATTATTGTGAAAGGGGTCGTTCTGGCGTCAATGAGTACTTTTATCTTTTTGGTACTTTCAGTAATATTTATACTGATATTTCAGCAGAATTTAAATTTGCCTAGTGTTCTGAAATGACGAGAATCGATGGAAAGTTTATCCATCTATAGTTGAGGAAAACTCATACACTTTGCTGATGTAAGAACTGTACAATATGGTCAAAAAGCTCCAGGACAATAATAAATGGAAACTCGGCACACTGGCTGCTTCCGAAGTTGAGGCAAATGGAACTGTTTGAGCTTAATTTGAATGTTGCTATTTTTTATGTTATTTGGGATTTACTGAAAGTATTCCCCTGATGTTCGGACGTATAAATGTTGCTCCTACCACAAATGAACTCATTTCATATTCTATGTGCAATTCTTCCATTTTGCTCTTCTATTATGAACCCCAAAACTGGAGAACAGGCATCACCAAAATAAAACCATCACTGAGAGGGGAGCAGGAGAAGGAACCCCTCACTAACTTGTGTCGGGCACTTGACTTGAGGCAGGGTGTTTTTATTTCATGTTCTACAGCATACATAGTGTACAAAATGGAGTTAGGAATGAATCCAGAGGACAATGGGAAAACATGCACGTGCGGAATATAGCACTCCATTTCTCCCTGCCGAGGCCACAGCACCAGTATGTACATTGCAAAGACAGGCCTGGGCTGAGTGTCTCTGAAAACACCTTCATGCTAAGGCCATCTTTGTTGCCATTGGAAGTGGAATGGGACCGAGATGGTTCTCAGTACAACGATGCAGGCCAGGTCCCAGTCCATGAACAAATCCCAAGTTCCTCACTGATCTATGAGAGGATGGACGGGTTTGAGAAAATGGCAGGCAAATATCCTTTTGAGGTAATTTGGATTATCCCTTTTGGGGGGGAGTTTAGCTTATTTTGCCAAATCTTATCATTAGCCATTTGATCAAAACAGCAATGACCTAGGATGAGCATCCGGAGAGAACTTCTTTTTAAAATGAGCTGCCTGGAGATGCTGCCACTTAAACTATCCAGTGCTCTGAATGACCCGAACTACTGTAGGGACTTGTTCCTGGACAGAACCCTGACAGGATCTTATTGGCTGCCAGATTGCTCCACACACCAATGGCTAGGAGAGACGGTCCGAACACAAACATGAAGCACCACAATGATGGAGAAAGGGCAGTGGGAAGCTGCATGGAGTTACAAATAAGCATCAGTCACTTTGGCCACTGACGTCTGGGACCCAACAAAAACATCCTTGAACTACTCCAAAGTGTTGGTTTGTCAAAGAGCATCGCAGCGGGCTCGACCAACCACACCCTGAAAGGGGAATTTGCCAAGGGCCAGTTTGAACAAAGGTGTGTAACTCCTTGGGAGGAGCAGAGCACCGTGCTTCAGTGGCAGCCCGCATACTTCGCCAGGGGTCCTTTCACGTTCACACACAGAAATGCGCGCGACGTGCACACACTGGGCGAAGATGTCAATCTAAACTAATTGCAAGTGGGCCGGCGTATACGGGTAGAGAGAGAATTGGAAATAAGATAAAGGTTTTAATCAACTGTTTTCGACCGTAAGCAGCGCACAGCAGCGGGGGGAGTGTGACGTGATGAAGCTCCAGGCGGGAGCGTGCAGGTCACACTCACTGAAAAGAGCATAACAAGCCTGGCTTGCATTGAAAAGTATGTCTGGGCTTCCTTTGAGCCACAAAAATTTCCTTCGGCAGAACATGAAAACAAAACTCATAAACAGTGTATATATATATATATTCATATATATATATATATGTATATGTATATATATATATATATATACACATATATATATGAAAAAAATAAAAACAGCCAAATCAACATCTTTTTTTGCTTTGACTTTAAATTCCAACATTGTTCTTTACGTATATATAGATTTGTCTTTTCTTAAACAATAATACGTTCACATAATACAATGGAAAACCAGTTTTGAGATAATCTAAATATTTCTTACTGCAACATCAATGTAATGACATAGAAGAAGCATAATTATTTTTAAGAGTGACTTTAAGGCTATCCCTATAATCAAAACAACAGAAGCCTGACAGGTTGAACAGCACATTATTTCCTCACGCAACATCATACTTGAACCTGTCTTGTTCGTAAGGTGGCAGATGAAATGACTAAGGTAATTGGTCATAAACATGGAGCTTAGAGAAAATACAAGAACTACATATATACATGAAGAGCCCTAAAAAAAAATAGACAAAATAGAAACAGCTGAGCAAACATAACAGAGCTACGGTTTCCAGGTGCGGAAGTACTTAATATTACGATGGACGAATGTGTGAGTTTATTAGCTGGTGTTGGTTTTTGAAGAATTCTGGTGTAAAATAAAGGACTGTGTGTGTGTGTGTGTGTGTGTGTGTGTGTGTGTGTGTGTGACAGAAATGCCAATAAAGATTTTCAGCGTGCATTCAGACAAATTTCATATAATGCAGAGAGTAAATGCAAAAACAAAATCACAATGTCCCTGTTGGCAGGAACACCTGTCTTAACTGGAACATGGGACACTTCGATCCCTTTAACTACATTGTAATAAAGTAGAACGCAGCCCCAGGTGACAAAAGAGCTGGTCCATCTATCACTACAAAGTGAACATCTGTAAACGATTTGGCCTTGTGATTTTGTTTCCTGCCTTTGAGCCAACAAGGAGGCTGGAATTCAAATGAACAAATTCAAATGACAAATCAGATAACCGCATTATTTTCACCAATCCCACTCTTAACCTCTTTTCACCTCATCAGTAACAAGGTCACGTGCCGATCACAATGACACCAATGAAAGCTCGAGTCAAAGCTTTGCTTGCATGGTGCCAAGTAAATGAAAGGTGCAGTGCACGTTAAACAGCAAATAATCAAGTGCTAGTAACTTTCTCCACCATTCTCCAAAAGCCTTGGAGCAAATAATGGTTCAAAAAGGGGGAGTAGCCATATCTGGGGTTTTTTGAGTTACCTCCTTTTATAACCAATTAAGCAGGAAATGGAGAGAGCATAGTGGGGGATATCTGAAGACATCTTCAACTCTCTAAAAGTAACCACAGGTGTTAACAAAAGGTACCAAGTGCTCCGTTCCGCACATACAGTGCAAGTGCCTCACTTTTGGTTTTCAGCCCCCCCCCTTTGGTTAACAGGTCATAAAGATGCACCTCTGCGATGTAAGTAAACACAAAGTTATTTTGTTCCCTTTGGGAAGGTGTATAGGTTGGGTGAGGGGGAGGGCATGTTGTCTCTGTATGTAGTGAAAGATGTTTATCTTTTTATGGCCTCGCTCTCTGCTGACTTCATGATTCCCGTGCTCTCAGGAAGGTCTTTCTTGAGCAGTTGGTAGGTAAACAGTCTTGGTTTTGCAACCCCCCCCCCTCCCCCAACATCAACGACAGTAAACATGGCACCTTAACAAGATCCAAAAACATAAAGAACAAGATGAAGGAGTTTTTGGTTGCAAAGTTGTCATGTGTAATGAAAAAGAGAAGCTATTGAGATAGTGCTGTTTACAGTATAACCCCAAGTTTTAGCTGCTGGTTTTTGCTTTCGTTAGAATCACATCCCTGATAAAGCAAAGAAAAGGAATCAACTGGATAAAAAAGTGACATAAAAAACAGTTCCCATCTTCTGTTATGATTGTGTGGAAATAGCTGTGTTTGTGTGTGTGTGTGTGTGTGTGTGTGTGTGTGTGTGTGTGTGTGTGTGTTTGTGTGTGTGAATGCTGTTGTGGTAAATCACTGGCATGGCCCATCTGCTTTCCCTGACTGTAAATTGTATCTTTTTTGCATTGATCATTCACCTTGTGTGTCTCTCTTCCTCCTTTTCTTTCTACCTGTCAACCTGCCTTTCCCGGCTCTGCCGTACATTCCCTCGGGGCTGTCAGGAGTGAAGAACAGGTGAGAGTCCGGGAGAGGCTGTGATGTCGGTGATAAAAGATCACCACAAAAAGTCCAGAAATAAAAGAAGAGATGAACAAGTTGAAGGAATAACAAAAACTGAGTTTTACCTCCATGCTTTTTCATAACTTTCTTCTAAAACTGCAGCAAAGAGGTTCATTCTTTTTTTGGATAAAAAAGTGAAGTTTTTTTTCTTTTGACAAAACACACAAAAAAACCTGTTGGCCTTTTTTTCTGGACCCCTTCTTTGACTAGACTTTCCATTTAAAAACCAGAGCTTTACAAAACATAGAAAGATGCAACACTGAACCCAACATAAAAAAACCGCAGAAATCTTAAGATAGATTTTTTCTTTACACTGTTTAGCTGCACTGGGGTTTCCCAAAACTGGGAATGATGGGAATGGTGAGGCAGTACTGGAAATCCCAGATGGCAATGTAAAAGGTGACCCCGCTGTCCTTCGGTTGCTTCCACAGCTGGAATGGTTAGGTGGAGCTGAGGGTGAGCGAGCGCCGGAGCTTGACGGGAGACGTTGAGATTTTGAGTTGAAGAAAACCAAATGCATGCAAAATGACGCCCCTCCCCCCTCTTTCTCTGGCGAAAGGCAGCAGTTCCCGTTGGCGTGGCATGGCGTTGCGTCGGTGGGGTACGCTCAGTCGGTGAATCTCTGACAGGCCTTTTTCCAGCGGCAGGCAGTGCACCACATGTCGCGGTTCTCCATCCCGTACACCTTACGGCACTTCTTCCCCTCGCCACGCACCTTCCGACTGAGGAGAGGAGATATGGAGAATGAGAGATGTTTATAACCAACAGCTGTTTGACTGTAGACTTGTATCTAATGAACACATATAAGAGTGGTATCAAACCTCTCACCCAACTCTCCACCTGAAACTCACAAAGCATATTTCCCAAAATGTTGAACTAGTCACAGCCACATGGGAATGTATTTTATTTCTAATTACAAGCAAACAACCATCAATAGAGAACAATGCAGCTTCAATTACCATTAGCATCACACTGCCTTGTTCACTTTAGCTCTGATTAAGTCTTACTTGATCATTTGTGTCCTGATGTAATTAATAAGACACAAAACAAACAATGCAATCTAAAACAGCTTGGTTACTCATTGAAGTGGATTAAGCGAATCAGAAGCTGAACTGAGCTGACTAATCAAGTAACTGACCTATTTTATAAGAGTCAATATTCTGTTTTTCATCTTTTACTTTTTTCACGTGTTGAGGTCTGATCTAAGCAGAAAATCATATTAGATGCTTCAGCTTTAATTTGAGTTGATTCTTTGTAATATTTGAGCTGTGCCTTCCTTTAATTTGGTCTTTAATTAAAACTGCCAGGCTGCAGTACCTGAGGGCAGTGGTGGCTCTGGGAGGGGAGGAGAGGACGGCGATGGTCTGGGAGCGCTGTTCACCAAATCCCTGGCTTTTACTGGGAGACACCTGCAGAGGGAGGACACAACTGCAATCATGAAAATCCACAACAGCAATTATGTGTGTAACTGCTGAGGCTGAGAATAAATGTGTGGTCCTCACCGTGTTCCCGGTGAAGGTGACGGGTGGCGACTGCCAGGAGATGCTAAAGCTGGAGCTGTTGGTGGGAGTGAAGCTGGTGGATGCTGAGCCGGCCGAGTTACTGCTGCTGCACGGGATGGACACTGGAGCCGTGGCCTGTAGGCAAAGGTCAAAGGTCAAAATGGCATTATTTTCTGCCTCTAGCTAACTGGTGCAACAGCTGTGGAACAACTTTCTGCTTTTGCTCCAAATCCCTTTTAATTCACAAAGCTCTGATTTCTAAGTCTTGTCCTGCCCTTTCTTGTCTTTGTTTGTTTGCCGCACTTTTAAATTGTAGCACTTTTTTCTTTTAGAGAAAACTGTTTAAAATAAAATGAATTATTTTTATTACGGCTCAAAAGAAAAACTGGAGCTCTGTGCAACACTATCTAGGTTTGTGCAAATTTCTTTATTTTGTGAAGGGACAATTCTTTGACATCAGTTAAACACAGGTAATTTCCCAAACTACTTGTGAAAGAATTTTTCCAGAGCAGTCTTCAGATATCACACATTGTAAAAAAAAAGAAAAAGAAACTCTTCAATGAAGCTCATTTTAGCTTAAAACTGAACTGATGATGTGTCATTATTCCACCTACAATTAACTGTTCAAACCTGCTGCTGTGTTGTTATGCGTCAACTGTTGAATAGCTGCTAACGGGAGCGAGAGACCACTAGTTGCTGTGACATCATTCGTTTTTTGTAAACATTGCGACACATAATCAGGGTAATGAGGACCCTGATAGTAGTGTGTGAGAGATAATATGTGCATTTTGTGTGTAGATAATTGTGCTGTGGCGTGTATATTGATCCAGAGAGTGCATTGATCTTTTACCTTCATGTTGAGTTTGAGCGTGTGTGTTGTACATTGATCTTAATCTGTGTGTACATGTGCACGCGCTCACCTGGTAGGCGTGGTCCGTGTGGATGAGGTAGAGAGCGCTGGGCGCAGAGCGGCTGAGCGGGGTGGTGCCACCAGCGTGAGGCTCCTTGGTGTCAGAGGACTGCGGGGGTCTGTGGGAGTCTGACAGCTGGCTCAGGGAGGGGAGAGGGGAGGGGGGAGGAGGAGGGGTTGAGAGGACGGAGGGCGACACGGGGGAAAGGCTGCTGAGCCCGTCGGCCACCGAGTCCGTGTTGAGCTTGATCTCCGTGTAGTAGAAGTCCTCCTCACCGTCACTGCAGTCTGAGTCACAGCTACGTCTGAAAACAGAAATAGAAGGTGCAGACGGTGAGAGGCGAAAGGAAGGAAGGAAGAAAATAAAAAGAGGAAAACAAGAATAGGTTTTAATACAAATGCTGATTACTCCACATGTCCAAGCGATCAAAACCTGCTCCCCTGCAACATTAATGTCACTCTCCATCCAACAAAACAGTCATCTTCACTTGATCAGTGTAGGACGGAGAAGCCCTTCATTTAACTGAAAGTCTAAAAGTGTGATCCATCTGATGTCACTGTTCTCTGCCTTGCTCTTTTTCCTTCACTTGTCACCTCCCTCTCAAACTCAGTGCCAGTCATGAAAATCAATCAGCTATTAACCTGCTGTTTTGACAATGAAGCTGGTTGAAAAAAGACAGAGGTGTTTTGAGGGTTTGAGTGGACAGTAGATCAGATATGCAGCATCTGTATGTGTTTGTGTGTCGGTGTCTTACCCCAGGTGGATGGTGCGGATGTGTCTCTGGATACCAGCAGCAGTACTCAGCACCTTGCCACAGTTCTTCCACAGGCACTTGAACATCACCTTCATGGAGTTCTGCGGGAAACACACAACAGACGGCAGCTGCAGTCAGAAAACACATAGAGCTCACAAATGTTTCCAACGGTGACAGAAAGAGATGGTGACCTCATGATGCAGCACGCCTTTATAATCACAGACAAGCAAATTTCTCACCTTGGAGGACGTGACCTTTCTTATCTGCCACCACCATCGCTGACACACAAAAGTGTGCAGATAAACTTCCTGAGCTGTTCATTCATGCTTTAGAATCTCTCTTTTTCAGTGATCAACCTTGATCAAAAAGCTTGGGACAGAATCATTCCCACACAAATGCTGTTTAAATAATTTGTTAATAGTAATCAAGTAGTTTGCTTACAGAGTTCATTTTGGATCTTTTTACACTTGACAACATGTGGAAAAAGAATTTAAAACTGTTGTAGCTTATTATTTTTGAGCGGCAAAGAATTGATTGATTGATTTCCAGGAAAGCTGTCGTTTTATCTGAGTGTGAGTTTATCAATACATTACGTGATATCAGATCGGTGCATAGACTCACGTACTGGCTGTTTCAGGATCCAGTACAGGTTATATCTGAGTATATACTAGTATTGTAATTCAAACAACAATATTGTCTGTCATTCTTGTTTTTTTCTTTGGAATAAAACCACATTTACATGTGTCAATTTACTATGAATCTATTTGTAAATCTGAAGCCAACAGTGTTTCTTTAATAAATAATCATTATGTGAATACGTATAATGGAGTGTGGTAGATTTACCTGGTTAATCTTCTGTTGATTAATGTTGATCATGATCTTTGGCCAAGTGCCACTTCATCACATCAGTAAAGAATTTATTCAAAATCACAGTTTATTCACCTTCATCTTTGCTTTAGTTGGAATGTGCTAATGATGGACAAACAGCTTTAGTATAACATCCTTACATGGAGCTATTCTGAACACGCTTTTAAGTAACAGCTGAGTGAGGCCAAATAACAGTAAATATTTCTGGTTGTGAGATGACGATGCTCCTGTATCTTTTTTCCGTCTACTGTAATTACACCATCGGCCTCCTACAGAGACTTTACATTGTTCTTCATGGAGTGATAAGCCCTGTGAGCTTTCTCTCTGCCCTCCCGCTCCCCTGCTCTGAGCCATTATAAATGGTCTTATAGGCCCGTCTATCAAACTATTGTTGAGGGGGCTGATTTAATTTTGACAAGATGTTGTTTCTTTTTTTCAAATTATCCTCCTCCTTGCAGAAATGCATTCACACACAACAATCATCTGTCCCCTGTGCATTGTTTTGTATTTGGGTAACAAAAGCATGTTTTTTTGTGTGTAAGTGTGTGTGTGTGTTATTCCCTTTAAAGAAGCATTTCACAGTTAATTAAATCCGGAGCTCCAAACGGTATTGTCTTGCCAGGAGAGAAGCGAGAGCACAAGGGGAGCATGTAGATAATTTCATGTGAAACCTTGGCATCGCATACTGTATATAGTGTGTGTGTGTGTGTGTGTGGGTGTGTGTGTGTTTATGTCAGCCAACTACATTGTTATCAAAGCTTTTACAGAAACTGTTTTGTCTCCAGCCATGCTCCATTCTCTTTTTGCTGTAGTTCCTGTTAATTCTTCATCCACAACCTTCCTTTCTCTTCCTCATTCCTTCATAATGTCTCCCTCTCCCTCTCCCTGCCCTTTTTTGTGATAAGTCCCCAATTAATACAGTGCTTTGTGCCAATGTGGAGCTCACCCAAGAGTCTTTATTGATTTTTAGAGGAGCCATGAAGCCGGCAGGATCTTTATGTTTGCTGTAGCGGGTATTAAAATCATTACTGCGGTTGCGGAGCAGCTGCATGTGAAGGCTGAGAAGTAATTATGAAGGGCAAATGTCTGGGGAGGACACACACATACAGAGCGAGGGGAGAGGGGGAAAAAGCACAGGACAGCCCGGGAAACATAGTGAGGAAGAAAAAGGGAGAGAGAGTCACAGGAGGGAGAGATGGATGATACTGACAGCGAACGACAAACTAGCACTGATAAGGAGAACGAAACAAAGCTAGAGAGAGAGAGCGAGGCAATATACATCTGAAAAAATAATGAGTGACACTGAGCTGTGGATGTGATGAGCTGTCAGTGGTGTGTGTAGAAATGAGACGAGGCGAAATGATGAGTGAGAAGGAAAGAGTGCACAGTATGTATGTGTGTTGTGCTAATAACATCTGTATAAGACAAAACTACCACAGCGGCAAAAGGTTGTGTGTCCCTTCCTGTCCCATTTTCATCTCTTCCTATCACTCCATCTAAAGTACATCCATAACCTTTAGTGGTTATTGTTGGAGAGGGGAATCAACCACCTCATGTACATCTGACAGCATCTCAAAGACAAGCTCCTCACCTTTTTCTTACTGAGAGATCTGCCTGTTATCAGGAGAACTGCTTCCAGTCTCTTTTAAACAGCTTTAACAAGTGAATCTATGACAGCTCCACACCATACTAAAAGAAATTCTTACAATAAGGCTGCGACTATTTCTAGGGCACATAAGGTCAAGACAACAAAACAATTTAAATTTCAGAGAAACTGTGAGAATTGGAAGTGGTAACTGGGCAGTTTATTTGGAACTTACAGCCTGTGAGAAAATTGCTTCTAAAAAAAACTCTTTAGAGGTTTATTATTTTGGCCTTCCATCCACACTCAGCCATATCCCCACTGCATTTTTTTATATCTAAAAACAAACCTTTAAAAAAAAAAAGGTTGTGTAAATGGAAAACCAGAATGTTCAGAAAACAATGATGTAGGCTGCTCAGACATACTCCCGACAGTCACACTGAGAAGAAAACTTTCTGGCTTCTAACCCACTCTGTGATCACTCATTTAAAATCAGTCAGTAATGCTTTGATAACAGTGCTGACGGGTAGTGTATGAATAGTGATTAAAAAACGATTTCATCCTTGTACAGATCAGAACAAATGTACCTGAGAACAACTAAACCATGACTCTGTTTCAGTATTAAAACACAATAAACGTGATCTTTGAGAGCAGCGGGGATTAAACCAGGAATCGACCCAGGTGAGATTTAGTAGGCGGCGTTCTGATGCACTTGTGTGCAGATGTGTTCTACACTATTCACCTTGCGCTTGCGAGGGATGGGCTCATCAAAGAGCAGGCTGCTGCCGTCCTGGTCGTCAAGGCTGGGGTCTTCAGGTCCTGCGGGGCCGGGCCCCACACCACCCAGGCTGGGTACTCGGAATGGCTTCAAGCTGTCAGCGGAGAGCGGTGGGGAAGGTGTGGAAGGGTTGGACTGGTCGCTGGGGGCAGACCAGCTCCAGTAGCCCCCTGAAGAGCTGTTGCTTGATGGGGTGAAAGGTCCTGCTGAGCTGTTGTCTTTCCACGAACCACTTAGACCCTCTGAGAAGATGGAGGGAAACAGAGAGTGCAAGGATGGTAGTGGAAGAGGACAGAGGGAAGGTCCAATTAAGTTTTTTTTTTTTTCAATTTAACTTTTATCTAACCAGGTAAATCCCATTGAGGTTAGCAACCTTGGCCATGTTTCAGACAGAAAAATACAACATTGGGCACACAAATAAAACAAGTGAGGAAGATAGATAGAGCCTGAGAGTAAAGCTAACAATAAATCTTCAGTCTTCACTCATATTTGCAGATGCTAAAACCACAGCAAATTGTGGGTGTTCCTCTGTCAATAATGGGAGATCAACACTTTCGATTAAGTTCACTCAGCTTTATTTGCACCTCACACAAAAGAGCCCCACAGCACTACTGTTGACTGTGACACAAGAAAAGAAAGGTTTCCTGTTCTGTGATTCTGCTGAGAGACTTCCAAGGTCTTGTTTTTTTTTTTTTTTTAGATCAAAGAGATGTCTCTTTTGTATATCAGCTACAAAAGGCATTTCACTTTGTGATGATGGAGGCTGGGGGAAACATTGGGCAGAGTATGTGTGTGTAAGAGTGTGTGACATTGAGTGAGAGAGTTAAGTGCAGATCCTGTTTGTTTGGTTTAGTGGGGCTGCTTCTTGGAGGGGTGTCTCTCCTCTCAGACTTGCTTCTTTCTTCTTTTCAGCACATTGTTTTACATAAAAGAGGAAGTGGCTCACCGACAATAAGAAAACTGCTGATATGTTTGGTTTTTTGGTACAGAAAAGCAAATATTGATTGAAAGATGTACTAATATTATGTTTACATATGTGCTTATTAAGTACTTAACAAGATAACACCTTTAGATAGAACTTATATTTAATTCCTTTAAAATATTATGTATGAGAATGTGAGAAAAAAAAAGAAAAAAAAATCAATCACAGCACTGAGCTTGGCTTGAAACTCAGTTTGTATTACGCATGATAACCTGCTGTGTGTGCGGATGCAAATACACATTGTATGATCCTCAACATGTGTACTTGGGTGTGACATCTGTACGACTACATTAAGATGAAACTGTGCAGTTGGTACTTAAACTCTACTTTGTGCATGTGTGCATGATGTATGTGATGTACATTTAACATCTGACCGCATGAGAATGTGCGACTGTGATAACACGTGCATGGTGGTTGGAGGGTTGGCTGCATGTCTGCTCGGTTGAATGGACAGCTGGTCGGTTACACAGACTATCTAAGCGGTTGCATGTGATTGCAGTTATGAGGCACTTTGGATTTCAGCCACCGTGTTGAGTGGCAGAGATCCAGACTCATTGTGCCTTTTTCGTGGATGTGCAGAAGTCATTGATGAGAGAATCCTAAAGCACAGCAGGTGGCAGTAATTTATCAACCTAAGCTTCCACATGCATTCACAAGATAACCGCCATGAGGGAATGAAAAGTCAGTGTATGGCAGAACATACAAATGACCGGTGCACGCTGAGCTACTTTTGTGTATTCACTTTTTAAAGACTTTCTTCTTTACTAGAGAAATGAGAGAATGATACATCAAAGCCAAAGATTCATTTGAATCAGCAAAGCATATTGTATTTGTAAAAAAACACCCCACAGTGTCAAAAGGATATTTTCACTTAATCAGCCATCTAGCAGTTACGATACTCACCGCTGACTTTGACAGGTGGACTCCTGACCAGCGGGCTGGTGGAGAGACTGGTCAGTACCATGGCAGCCGTCACCTTGTCCATGTCCACTTCCTCCTCTGACCGTCTGTGAATACACAAAAAAAACAAAAAACAATGAGAACTTTAACATCTTCTGCTCCCACCTTGTTTTTTGTCTGTTGTGGGCAACTGATGCGATCAACCAGACACGGTAGCTGAAATGCTCCAGTAAAAAAAATAAATGTAAAATAGACTAGACTGTTGTGGGTCTTGTATCTCATTCATAAAGCCTGTATTATCAACATCACCTCACAGCACACCTGCACAGTACACATGCTAGCTGATCCAGACTACTCCGATGACAGACTATAACTATACACAATACACACATTTGTCTCTTCTAATTGGCGCACAGAAAACACACACTGGAAGACAGAAGTCTTAATCTTCTCGAATGTATTCCTTAGAGAGGCAATCCCTGTGATCAAAGGGATAACAATAGCTTTATTACTGACAGTATACCTATGGTACATGCTCACTATTAACGCAACATTCAGTGTGTGTGTGTGTGTGTGTGTGTGTGTGTGTGTGTTGTGTCCCTGAGCGAGCAAGACTTTGATGGTGTGTGGAAGCCAAACGATCAAAGTCGATTCTATTACAATGATGAAATCTCCAGCTGCATTGGAAAAAACCATGATCAGCCATCACCAGGTTTCCTAGCCTCTGGGATCAAATAGTAGGTTATACTGCATCTTAATTGGTAAACATACAGTACGGGTGACAAACCGTTGAAATAAACAACCTCTCTTACTTTCCAAGTACCTGTCAAACAACAAATAAATGCCCACTAAAGAGACAGTAGATGATGGACACATGGGCAGATGAGACATTAGTGCAAGTCAGATATACAGGATAGAGAGTCACAGAAAATGGAAACAGATGATAACATCACAAATAAAAAGTTCAGGTGAGCAGCATGTCCTTTACAAGTAAAAACCCTCTCTCGACACAGAGGAGAATCATTGTACAGAGTGATGGCAGCTGGCAGGAATGACTTCCTGTAGTGTTCCTTGTCAGCAGGTGGTGGAGAGGATGTGAGATGTTCTCCATAACGTTAAACAGTTTGTGCAGCATCTGGCAATGTGGGCATAAAAGCTACCACAATGCCAAGGACACTACAGCACTGCAGAAGGCTGTGGCTGTGGCCGTCACATATATTGTATCTGTGTTGTAAGGCAGAAAAAAAAAAAAAACACAGCCTATGACAGCATGTCTGGTGCTTGCAAAAAAAGAAAAGAAGAAAAGAAGAAAAAAGCACATGCGAAAGGTTAAAGGCAAGGAGGATCTAATCAAATTAACATTGAACTCCTCAGTCATGTTGCAGTTCACTGTCTGGTGCTTTATCTCACTGTGAAGCACAATGGTAAACTATCAGACTGAGAAAGATACAGGAGACACATATTGACTTTAACTGCCCCTTTCACCGCGGCAGCGATGTACACTCCAACAGGACACGACCCAAAACATACTGCATAACCAAAACCAACAGTGGAGAGGCTTAAGAACAACAGTGTGAAACTTGTTGAGTGGCTCAGTCACAGCCAAGACGTGACTACCAATATTTATTTTAAAAATGGCTTTCAGGCACAGATGCTCCCCATCCAAGTTGACCGAGCTTTAAGCAAACCTAGAAAAAAAGAAAGAAAGTCCCAAATTCCAGATGTGTCAAACTAACACAGATGAATTTAAGACGACATACTAGACTCAAAGCTGCCAAGTTTTTCTAACACAAAGTAGTGACTCAAGGGGTTGAATATTGGTTTAAATGAGAGATCCCTGATGAAAAATGCAACAAGACACAGTTCCACATCATTTTATATTTTATGTCAAGATACAGTATTTGCAAAGATTATGCTGCAGTGTTCACTGTGAGTTAAGTTTTATCCATCCTACTTTGAGTTGAATCTAGCCATGTCCATGTGTTGATCCCAAGTGTGAACATATTCCGTTATGAGACTTTAAAGAACAAAGTACAAGGAAACAATCTTAAAGCTTTGGCAGCTGAATTGGGAGAGGAACATTTTGAATTATATACAGTTTATATGTGTTTTTCACAGATTTTTTTCAGTGGCGTTGCTCATTGTTTGTGCTGTGATGATGCAAGAGTTGAAACACTTTAACAGCCAGTTTCCTGTCAGAAAATGAACATGACCTTTAACTGGGGATGCTCTGACTGTTGTGTTTTCCATTGCAAATTGGTTATTCTGTGGTATTAACAGCTGAAGCAAACAAGTTAATGTTGATCAACAGTATTTTCACTGCCCAGATCATCATGGATGCCTGATCTCCACCACACACCTTACGGTTTCTGTGTAGATCCACACTAAATGTTGGTGGTATTGTTGATCATAGTGGGACTGTGAGTTTCTCCGGACGCAGTCATGACCTTGTTTCTGGCTGCTCATTCCCAGTGAGGGCTGAATGCCTGTGTTAGCAACTACAAGTCAAGGAAGCTAAAAGAGCTAAAGGGGATTTCCAGTGCTCTTTTCTGGATGACAACAGACTTTTGAAGGATTATCTTTTAATGAATCAGTTTCATAAAACTGACTCAGAGCACAAGTTTAACCATGGACTAGTTTTATATAAATCACAAAGTTCACCCAATATACTTAATGGATTGGCCAGTTTGCACAAACATAAGACATGTTGGTTTGTAACTTATACAAATATGAGCTTTTTTGTTGATAATATAGTACATGTTACAACTGACCCCAAAAACATGGATTTTTTTTATAACAAACAAGAGAATCACACATTACACTACGGTCAGAGCCATTTAGCATGAAAGGGCAATCAGTATTAGTTTTGTGAGTACATAAGAATACCAACTGTAGTTAAATTTATGGACAGATTCTTGTGAATAGAGAAGAGAAGAGAAGAGAAGAGAAGAGAAGAGAAGAGAAGAGAAGAGAAGAGAAGAGAAGAGAAAGCCTCCGCCTCCATTAGCTGATGTGTAATTTATTACCTTTTCCACTGTTGAATATGATGTCATTACAGTCTCCACATAAATCAAGAAATGAAGCTGCACACCCAACTGCTACTTTTACCCGTAACCCCCCCACCCTACATCGTCATAAAACCACTTCTTTGTCACCTTGGGAGGCCATCATGTGACTGTAGATATTATCTCCATGGCAACAGTGACAGACAATAATTACCTAGTGCTTTGTCTATCTTGAAATATGAAAGAGTAAATCTCAGAAAAACACATTAGGAGGCACAATAATTAAGAAGTGATGTATGAGAGGGGGAGAAAGAGAGAGCGAGAAGGGGAATTTCCCAAATTGAATTTGTCATTAGAGGTCTTATCAAACTTAGTTTCCGTCCAAGTGCTTATTATGGCTATAATTAACAAACACTGAGAACATGTATGAGTGTGTGTTAGAGAGAGACATGTCTAAAAAGCATGATGCATGTGACAGAGGAGTATGTGGTGGGACAGTTAATGGATGGATAAGTGAATTCTGATAAATGAGTTTCATATGTTGGTGTGTGTGTGTGTGTGTGTGCGTGCGTGCGTGCTGCTGTATATGTGACAGAGTGTGTGTTTGTGTTTTAATATTCTTACTTCACTAACTTGCAAAAAAACATCTTCCTGTATCTGACCCCTGAGGGTTCCTAAAAGGAACATTATCACGGACATATAGCTTCATCAACAGAAACCTAGAGAGAAAGTAAAGAGCTTGTTTACTAATGCAGATTACATGAAATGGATCCATGGAATTTTATCTTGCTGCTGGCTATTCATAAATGGAAAATGAGTTTATCTCCAGGGTTCAAACAAACACATTACTGTGGAAGCTGTTAATGTTGTTAGTGCCCTTAAAGACTGCCAAAGTTTTATAAATGAGCAGGTAGCATCACCATGCAGTATGAATGATCTGTATCCAATTTACAGCTGCCATTCACAGTGAATTTAAAGCATCTATCTTTAAACATCTATCACTGTACATAAGACAAAAGACACTATGTACCTGTGACATTATCTCATAAAGTGCCACATTTTATTTTAAAGGTACCAGAGTAGTTGTTGTACGTTGTTTTCCTTCCTTAAAAACATGGACTCAGTGTCATATTTAAATGCTCTTATTGGCAATTAGTTAAATTGCTTTTTAATTAAAAACAGAAAGACAATTACAAAATATAAGACAGCTAGGTTTGCAAATTGAAGATTATTTTGATCGTTGATTAATCTGCCTAATATTTTTTGGATTAATGGACTTAATTATTTTGGTCTGTAAAATGTCAGAAAATAGTCATGTCTTCAAATTATTTGTGTTGTTCTGTTTACTATCAAATAAGACAAAGAAAATGAGCAAATACTCACATCGGAAAGAGTGCTGTTAAAATTACATGAGGTTACCAAACTTCATGAATCACTAAAGGTGTAACCTCTCCCACCATAACAGGTGGAACAAAACTAACGAGGCTACACAGATGTCAATCGAGCTCACGCCCTAGTAGTTGTTAAACTAGGTCTAATTAAATGAAAACTGCTGTGTGAGTGGACCGAGGCTGTGTGTTGCCTTTCAATTGCAATCAAGTTTTGGAGCAAATGTGTTTTATGTCACTTCTTATCCTTTTTTAATTTTTTGTCTTGAAATCTTAATGATAGATGTAGAAACTCTTTTCAAATGTAAGGGTGCAAATTTTGCTTTCGTTAACCTGCTAGTTGTAATTAGCTCACAGTGCAGGCTTAGGCCGGTGACATGAACCTGAGAGCAGCAAAAACAGAGCAAGTACTGAGCAAGTAGAGGAAAAAGTTGATTTTGGCCATTGGTTACTGAACTATTCAAGAGCTACTGGATATCTCAAAGATAAAAAAAGACACATAGATGAGTAAGGATGAGTTGGGATTCACCCCATGATGGTATGGAGATACAGATAAAACAACAGCTCCCTCTTCAGGGGTTTTGATGAGCTTGGAGGAGATGTGGCTGTTTGCCAATCTGCCAAGGCGCTGTGTGTGTGACATGTGCTGAAACTTGTTGTACTTCTCTGGATAGATGTGCCAACTCATTACTTTTTGAATCTCAGGTGAATTGA